CTGCTCCTGAGCAGCCTCCTGCGGCGAATGATGGTCGGCTCCCGACCATCATAGAGGGAACAGAAGAGGATCTGGATGTCTTTGTCTTGGAGTCATGGTATGCTGAACTGATGGATGACAGAACACTCCTTGAAGCTGACACAGAAGAAGTCACGCACGCAGTTCCGACATACATGACAGACTCACAGTGCGTGTTGGTCTCTACGACCTGTGAAGATGTGCAAGGCCACTTGCCGGTGCGGGGTCACCCGCCAGGATGCGACATGGACACCTCTTACTACGTCCCTCTGTGCTCCACTGATCCGGACAGCCACTATGATCTGGACTCCGACGAGCACGGGAAGTACATCGAGCTTTGTTTCACAGCAGACATGTCCAAAGTCGTCCTGTCCGAGCAGCAACACCGATTGTTGGATGACAGCAGCGTCACAACTATGCGAGTATATGTTAGTGCTGCCTCCATACGTGCCGCGGTCGTCAAAGAAGACGACCTACTCACGAAGGCCGACATTCAAGCGAATCCGGTCAAAGTTTCCAAAGCCCTTTACACAGAATTGAAGACTTGGCTTGACAACAAATGCTTCCAGATGACTGACTTGAGCAAAGCGTCGAACATCATGACTTCACGCTATGTATACAAATGGAAGTTTGTCAAGAACGAGAAGGGCGAAATGGAGCGGACGATCAGGTTACGCTTGGTACTTCGTGGCTTCATGGACATTGAAGCCTTCGACGTCGAAACCTTCTCTGGCACGGCAAGGAGGTCAAACCAGAGATTGCTCGCAAGGTCTGCTGCACGCAACAAAGCTTGGATCATCGCTTCCCTGGACATCAACATGGCTTTCTTGAAGGGACTGACCTATGGCGAGCTCGCCGCGGCAACTGGCGAGAAAGAGCGCGTGGTGTGCTTCACACTACCTCCTGGGTCAGCAGCTGTCCTCCGCACATTGCCAGGCTTTGAGTCATATGACGAATCAAAGCATTGTCTTCGGCGCCTCAAGCCGGGGACTGGCACGAAGGATGCTCCCAGGGCATTCTCGCTGAAGCTCAGGTCCATCACCAGGAGCTTTGGACTACAGCCTACTTCATACGATGAAGAGTTCGAGATGAGTTCAAACCTCTTGACAGCCAAACACGTTGACGACATCAATATGACTGGGAAGGAAGATTCCATTGACAAGTACGTCAAATGTGTTGAAGATACGTTTGGAAAGTGCAAACTGAACAAGCACACATACACAAATTGCGCCGTTCGGTACAACAAGACCGATGATGGGAGCGTCACTCTTGATCAGGGCGAATACATCAAACAACTTCGTCCTATCACGCATCCAGACCTCACAGGCGCTGGTCCTGAGAGCAAAGCGACAAAGACGATTTCTGATATGTTCGTCAGTCTTCGTGGCGCTCTAGCCTATGCGTTGATCACGCAGGTATGGCTGATGGTCTATGTTGTTTCACTGCAACGTATCCAGGAACCGACAAATATCCAGGTACGACGACTGAACGCGGTCACCAGGAAATTGCAGGCAGGTCCGAAGAAGATCGTGTATCAAGCTATGACTCCAACAGGAGAGGTCGACCTGCATAGCGATTCTGGCTATCGTCGTCTCAACGGAGATGAAGACGACGAAGTCAAAGGCTACGGTATCCGCGGGGCTAACCTGCTGAGGCGTGGCCACACGCAAGCGGGGAAACCCGTCGTGCACCTGGTGGACGCATACTGCAAGTCTCATCGACTGCAGGTGCGTTCGAGCTACTCTGCGGAAACACTGGCAGCAGCCCACAACTTGGAAGACTGCTACCCGACCATTGTAACGCTCCACGAGCTACACTCGGGACCATTGACCCCCACACAGTTGAAGAACATATTGGAACTGGGTGGTCTATGTATCAAAGTCACTCTGACTATTGATGCCGAGTCTGTCTTCAAGTCTTTGTCTAGCAAAGATCTGAAGAAGCCCACAGAATGCACTCTGCTTGGGCACATCAGCTGGATCCGCCAGATGATGGAGCGCGGAATCGTTGAAAGCGTCCAATGGTGTGACACGCGGGATATGACTGCCGATGGTCATACCAAAGGTAGTATTGACCGCGCGTTGCTCCTACAGGTAATGGCCGGTCAGCAATCCTTCAAGCACGAGCTGAAGAAACATACTCCGTATAGGGCGGGCAGGTCGTCTCAGGACGGCCCTGCCTCCCGAGCTAGCGGGGAAACCCGCGCGCAGGTGCGCTTTAGTAGCGAGGAAACTCGCCGGTAGCGAGGCTACTCGCGCGCCCTTGCCTTGTAGGCAGCCGCTGTTGCCTAGCACTGTTTTTTCCGCGTAATGTAGAAATTCGGTGCTTGCTCGTCTCCTCCCCCTCCAACTTTAAACGGGGAGGGTTAAAGGCGAGATGTAAATCGAGCATGCACCGCTGCCGTGCCTGGCTCAAGCCGGGCCCGGCCGAACATGTGATTGTGCCTCACCGAGGCGCACTACTCGCATCTGAGATCGGAAAAGACCTTTCTATTGAAGATGTCCCTTCCATCCTTTACTCCAGATCCCATGCTTCATCTTGCTCTCTTGCTCATGCGGTATGAGCCAAAGCCTGGGATATGGGAGCGCCTAAGGCGGAACATATATTTTGGCTTACCAGTGCGTTTTCGACTGAAACCCCTTGAATGCGATGCCTCTCCGTGTCTCTTCGGATGTCTCTTGGCGGGCTAAGAGCCGTCTTTGCGCGTTTCGCGTTCATCGGAGATCTAGACGGTTCCCGTTTGCCCACTCGCCCATGCAGAAACAATACCCCGGCGAGTTGGGGTGATTAAGGAAGTGCGGGAGCCAAGAGGTGGACAGCCGATCCGTGCGAAAGAGGAGGAAGATAAGGAGGATATTAGATGGATGGATGAAGAAGTGGCGAGAAGGAACATGCATAGGTTGAATAGGAGGAGGAGGAGGAGGAGGAGGAGGAGGAGGAGGAGGAGGACGAGGAAGAAAATGAGTAGGATGAGCAAGGGCGAGCAGGAATAGGACGGCGAACAAAAGAGCCAGAAACCTCTTGGATCCCTATCGGTGCCTCTTGGGGTATCTCTTGGGTGCTTATTGGAGGCCTCGTGGGACGTCTTGGGGGTCTCCTGGCGTTCCTGGGGAACTCTTGGGCATCTCGGGGGGACCTCTTGGGGCCGCTTGGGGCCCTCTCGGGGGCCTCCTGGAGGCCTCTTGGGTGCCTCTTGAGGCCATCATGGGGTCATGTTGGAGCCATTTTATGGTTTCTTGGCGCCTCTTGGGGCCATCTTGGAGGACATCGATCAAACAGGGGGAGAGCTTCAATTACGACCCCCCTCGGAAGCTCCAAAAATCTCTTGGGCTCGTCTTGGAGCGCTCTTGCAGCGCTCTTGGAGCGCTCTTGGGGCTCTCTTGGGCCCCTCTTGGTGCTCTCTTGAGCCATTTCGGAGGATTTTTGCCTCTTGGAGGCCTCCTTGGAAAGCTATTTGGCCTCTTGGAGCCGTCCTTGGGCGGTTTTGGGGCATCTTGGAGCATCTTCGGAGCCATCTTGAGGCATTTTCGGCTATCTTGAGCCATCTTGGAGCTCATCTTGGGCTCTCCGAGGCGCTCTTGGAGCCGTCTTGGGCCATCTTGGACGCTCTGACCGCTCGCGGCGCCCCCCGTCCAGGGGGAGGGGTAAACCCTTCCCCGAAGGGGAAGGAGGGGTGGAATATGAAACTCTCTAAACCACCTACGCCCAGAGGGCTGGTGGGATGCAACGCAACGCATTGCAATACAATGCAATGCAATGCAATGCAATGCGCTGAATACTATACCACTCTGTTCGCCACGTGGCAACGTCTGGAAGGGTGACAACAGTGCTCGTCTGCTCCAGCGGTCACGCGGCAGCGCCGCGGGGGCCGAACGCACAGTTCAACTCCACATCTCGCCGCGCGGCAACGCCCAAGGGGGGGCGAACGCCGAACACAAAAACTCTGCACGCATCACGCGGCGACGCGGCCGGGCCAAGCAAAACAAAAAAAACTGCGCCACGCCACCCGCCACGCGGCGACGCCTCGAGGTGCGCAGAGGTAGTATTCCGTTATGGCCGTCACGTGGCACCGCCGCGGGGGGTCGAGCAAATAGTATGCCACGACGAGGGCGAGGAGAACGACGGCGACGACGATGACGAGCTCCAGATAGGCGAAAACCAAATACCATCCCACCCTCGCTCCTCACTCCTCCTTCCTGCCCTTCTTCCTTCCTCAAATATCATCCCTCTCTGTTCTCCCCCTCCTCGCCCTCTCCCGCAATCTACTGCAGCGCAGTGTACTGCAGCTATTCATCTTCCCCCCTCCTTTATCCTCTCTCCTTCCTCCCCCTCTCTACCTTCTTCCTCCCTCCTCCCCCTCTCCTCCTCCCTCCTCACTCATCCCTCCTTCCCTCCTCCACCGTCATCTGTTCTCCTCCCTCCCTGTCCTCCCGGATGCAACGCAATGCAATGCAACAGGATGTGCTGAAATGCAACACATCACACTGCAAAGTCATGCATTTATCGCGATTCAACGCAATTCGATGCAACGCAAATCAACGCAATGCATCCTCCCTCCTTCATCTTCCCCCTCATCCAGCGCCAGGGTCTTCAGACGGCGGCAATTGGCCCTCAGGCGCCGGCCCTCCTGACGAAAAATATGTGTTGCACCCCCAACGCTTGGCCCTCCACCTGGACCGGAAAGTATTTGTTGAACCTCCAACGCCTGGCACGCAGACGACGTCAATAGGCCAAATGTTGGCACACGCGGCACGCGGATCGCGTCCTGGGGCCAAACATGTTTTTGGACCGTCAGAAATTGTTCGAACCCTATATACTAGAACATCGAATGTTACATGCGCTTGTGTGTTGTCGCCCCATCGGCCCCATTCTTCCTCATCCTCCTCCTCGATCCTTCTCCCTCTCCCTCCTCGATCTTCGTCCCTTGCCGCCCTCCCCCCGTTCGCTCCTTCCCCACTTTCCAATCCCCCCTTTTCGCCCAG